GCCCGCCCGCCCGCCCACGTGATAACATAATACGTCCCCGTCTTCGACAGGCGTATAAAAACGACATACAATCTTGGTTTTACCTAACTTTTCATTTTCTCACTAAACAAAGATTCTAATTTCTAAAACACATTAGATATCAACTAAAGACAAGTGGGGATTAGGGACCAACTCTCTCTATTTAGTAGGGGAGCTCCCGATTTAGGACCCTTAAATTTGGTGGTTTTGGCCAAATAGTTTTCTAAAGTATACCTGTATTCTAAAATCTAATGATCTCATCTGAAAGAACAACTTAAAATATGTCACTTTAAAGGGTTATTTTGTCTCTATGGGGTATATATATACACAAAGTTAGCATGCAGAGTCTCCCCCATGGAAATTTCAAGAAGGTGGCAAGTATGGACTATATATCCTACAGCAATTTTGTGTACTGGGTTACATCACATCAGACATATGGGTACTTATATTCTACTTACCTAAGTGGTTTCAAAGTGGTTGATGGTTTGAGGGAGTCTTTCATGTTGTGAAGCTGTAGTTGTACTAGCACATTGGCCATATTGGAATAGATCTTTCCTGCTTTTGAATTCATGGATGGGAAATATTCTGTCATGAAAATCTTCGCCCCGCAAACATCAATTGGGCGAAAGGTTGGGTCAAATGACTTCGAATCCTGGCGAGTTCCTAAGAATTCTTCGATTATCTGAAAATGATATTTTAAAAATATATTATATATATATACATACATAACCATGCATGTAAATTAAAAGAAATGAGGCAAAGTATTGTGAACAATCAATAGTTCCACACATTAAGACTTCAGTATTCAGAGTGAATAAAGGGCCATAACTATGTTTATATATAGATGGGCATAACACATGAATTCAGTGTGTGATACTCGGCCCTGCCAAAAGATACTCAAATACAAATTGGGTAGCCGATGGTGCATAGGAGATATGCTGCAAACGAAGTAACTTACATAAAGTCATCTCTTGACAGTAGAAATACTATATAGATACTACCTATTATAGCAAACAGAAGATATCACAGAATTAGAAAAAGATACAGTTCCATAGATGAAAGGCACAAAAAAAAAAAATAAAAAAATCCCATTGTATAAGTATCTTTCTGAACACCACTGTGTCATATATATTAACATGCAAATACTGTAGTGTATTAGAAATTTCAATGTCTTTAAAGCGACAGGCCCAGCACTTTTTAATATGTGCCGTGTTTTTACTTCATAACAAGAGGCCCAATGGGCCTGAATCGCTCACCTGGTATTAATCTCACACTTGTAAACTTAAAAGTAGACTAAATTACAGCTACAGGTAAAATATCAGTGTTTGATTCATAATAACCTTATAAAAGATTTAAACATATGATGCCTGTGACCTTGAATGTCGAACATTTTTGGCAAAACATCATTACCCTGGACCTTTTGGTTATACAGAACAAGTCATTTAAAGATTTAAACATATATTGACCACTGTGACCTTGAATATGGGCGAAGGTCATTCATTTTAACAAACTTGGTAGCCCTTCATCCCACCATGTAAATGACCAAATATCATCACCCTTGGTCTTTTGCTTATTGAGAAGTTGTTTAAAGATTTTAAACATATTTGACCCCTGTGACCTTGAATATAGTCAAAGGTCATTCATTTGGATAACCTTGGTAGCCCTTTATCCCAGCATGTTACTGGCTAAATATCATTATCCTAGGCCTCTTAGTTATTCAGAAGAAGCTGTATAAAGGTTTTAAACATATTTGACCCCTGTGACCTTGAATATAAGTAAAGGTCATTCATTTGAACAAACTTGGTAGCCATTTATCCCAGCAAGCTACTGGCCAAATATCATCATGTTATTGGGCTATTGAGTAGAAGTTGTTTAAAGGGTTTTTAAACATATTTGACCCCTGTGACCTTGAATATAAGTCAAGGTCATTCATTTGAACAAACTTGGTAGCCCTTCATCACAGCATGCTACTGGCCAAATAGCATCATCGTAGGCCTTTTGGGTATTGAGGAGAAATTGTTTTAAGGTGTCTAACATATTTGACCCTTGTGACCTTGAATATAAATAAAGGTCATTCATTTGAACAAGCTTGGTAGCCCTTCATCCTAGCATGCTACTAACTCAATATCATCATCCTAGGACTTTTGGTTATTGAGGAGAAGTTGTATAAAGGTTTTAAACATATTTTACCATTGTGACCTTGAATATTTGTCAAGGTCATTCATTTGAACAAACTTGGTAGACCTTCATCCCAGTAAATTACTGACCAAATATCCTTATCCTAGGCCTCTTGATTATTCAGAAGAAGTTCTTCAAAGGTTTTAAACATATTTGACCCCTGTGACCTTGAATATAAGTCAAGGTCATTCATTTGAACAAACTTGGTAGCCCTATACCACAGCCTGCTTCTGGCCAAATAGCATCATCCTAGGCCTTTTGGCTATTGAGAAGAAGTTGTTTAAAGGTTTTTAACATATTTGACCCCTGTGACCTTTAATATCGGTAAAGGTCATTCATTTGAACAAACTTGGTAGCCATTTATCCTAGCATGATACTGGCCAAATATCATTATTCTAGGCCTCTTAGTTATTCACAAGAAATTGTTTAAAGATTTTTTAAGACAATTAACCCCTGTGACCTTGAAAATGGATGAAGGTCATTCATTTAACAAATTTGGTAGCCCTTTATTTAAGCATGCTAATGGCCAAATACCATCACCCAGGGCATGTTGGTTATTCAGAAGTAGTTGTTTTCAGTTTTTAACATATTTGACCCCTGTGACCTTGAAAATAGGTGAAGGTCATTTATTTGAACAAACTTGGTAGCCCTTCATCCCAGTTTGCTTTTGGCCAAATATCATCACCCTAGGCCTTTTGGTTATTAAGAAGAAGTTGTTTAAAGTAAAATATTGACGCCGGACAATGTACGGACGACGACGCTGCTACATGGCATAAGCTCTCTTGGCCCTTCGGGCCAGGTGAGCTAAGAAGGGGACTGTATTGTGCATACATTATTGGGTTGACCAATGAAAATGGTCACTAGATCATCAATGTGGTAGACTGAGATATTATACTCATAGAATACCTCTTGATTGGGGAATGTTTCATCTGTCATTGCCTTGTTCCAAAGCCGGAGCTCCAACTCGTGGTTCTTGCGTTGGTGCCAGGAACACCGACATGGTTTTGTCGGAGGAGTGGTGGTATCAGACTCAGCTGTAGGGTTTGGTTTGTATGACAAACAGGATACAGAGGTTCCACAGTAACCACAACCTTCAGACTTGTGACTGGATTTCCCACCTACACAGAGTAAAAGATCACAGTGTCAAGGTCATTCAGTTACTTACCACAGCATAAAGGACATGTGCACACTGCTATAAATAGTATCATCTTATTATGTTATAAATATAGTTTACAATGATGTTGACCTTGATGACAAGTAACTGAGAGGTCATATTTCAGTTTTCACTGTCAAGATCATTCAGTCTAAAATTTGGTCTGTTATTATTGCTTTACATTTTTAGATCTGTGTTGACCTTGTTAAGAGACCTTGTTAGGACCTGTAAGGTAACATTGTTAAATCTGTATTAACATTATTTTGACCTCTTGTCACATTATTTAGATCTGTGATGACTTTTTTAAGAGACCTTGTTAGGACCTGTAAGGTTACATTGTTAAATCTGGATTAACATTATTTTGACCTCTGGTCACATTATTTATATCTGTGTTGACCTTGTTAAGAGACCTTGATAGGACCTGTAAGGTAACATTGTTAAATCTGTATTAACATATTTTGACCTCTGGTCACATTATTTATATCTGTGTTGACCTTGTTAAGAGGCCTTGTTAGGACCTGTAAGGTAACATTGTCAAATCTGTATTAACATTATTTTGCCCTCTTGTCACATTATTTAGATCTGTGATGACTTTTTCAAGAGACCTTGTTAGGACCTGTAAGATAACATTGTTAAATCTGTATTAACATTATATTGACCTCTTGTCACATTATTTAGATCTGTGGTGACCTTGTTAAGAGGCCTTGTTAGGACCTGTAAGGTAACATTGTTAAATCTGTATTAACATTATTTTGCCCTCTGGTCACATTATTTAGATCTGTGGTGACCTTGTTAAGAGGCCTTGTTAGGACCTGTAAGGTTACATTGTTAAATCTGTATTAGCATTATTTTGACCTCTGGTCACATTATTTATATCTGTGTTGACCTTGTTAAGAGACCTTGTTAGGACCTGTAAGGTTACATTGTCAAATCTGCATTAACATTATTTTGACCTCTTGTCACATTGATTAGATCTTTGCGCTGTTTAAACAACTTATGTCATGGTTACATTGTACACCTATGTTGTCTTTGTTATCACCTGTGCTCGCCTTTTTACAACCTGTGTTAACCTATAGAAAACATGTGTTAACCTATTGAACACCTGTGTTAACCTATAGAAAACCTGTGTTAACCTATAGAAAACCTGTGTTAACCTATAGAAAACCTGTGTTAACCTAGACCTAATGAAGAACTGAGGTCACATACTGTTTAGACCTGTGTTTACTATGTTAAAGCTTTCTTTTATCTTGTATAGTCATCCCTAGTCTAGACTTGTGCTTACCTTCATGGTCACAATTACTGCAGTGCTTTGATTTCACCACCTTGTCTAATTCCTTAATCTCTTTGTTATTTTTCCATCCACACAACCTGATCACAAAAGGAAAGTTACATCAGTTGATTCTAAGTATATTGTACATTGTAATATATACTGAAAAAGACACAAGGATCACATAAATTAGTTCTATGATTGTTATAGTGACTTTTGTGTTTCCTTACTGTTCCATATTGGATGGTTAGGGCGATCTTAAGCTGTGTTAATGGGACAATTTTTCAAAAGTGCATTTTTTGCATGACTCACAAAATATTTGCTTAATTTTGATTATTTATACCCTATTTTGTTTAACTCAAATTTTAACATTTCAATAGGGAGTTAACACTATAAAGGGAGATAAGTATTATTTATTTTGCTTTTGTGCATGTTTTAGTTTCAGTTATATACATGTGTATACCCTGATGTATTACTCTTAAAACATATCAACAAGATAATTAGCTATAACAAACTGTAACTATTACTGTAATATTATTTCAGCCAACCAGAAGATATTATGGCCACCTTGAATCCTTACAAAATAAAAGGGGTCTATTTGACATAAGTTATATGTCCACTATATATGTATCACTTCCACAAATTTTCAATATAAGACGTCAAATGTTTTAGGAAAAGTTATATTGGCTTAACTAAGATGATAAATAATAGCAAAATATTTCTTTGTAAAAAAATTGAATGTGAAAATAGATAGGAGATTCAAAACTGCATAATTATCACATGTATTAAGTTTAGTTGAAATTGATCTAGGACATGTAATTTAAGTCTTGTCCAGACAAGTTTTCATCTAAGGACAGGACTGATACAACGTAGGTATAATAATCTGGTGAAGCAGTCGGGAAGTCTACCTGTCCAGTGGGTCTTGTCCCAGCTTTTTTATACTATCAATCAATTCGAGAGCTTTTTTGATCCCAACACCTTCCAACCCTTTCCGGTGCCAGTCACATCCCACCAGCAGTGCACAGACAACCATTGCTCTCCGGTCTAAGCCCAGCTCGCTCTGAATCTTGTCCATCTTGTATACATCAACATAATGTACCTAGAAAACAAAGCCTTGTTACCGCGGTAATGGTTTAGCTAAGTCAGCTACATGTATATCAAAGCCATCGAAGAAAAGCAATGCAAAGTAAAATGTGAATTTTATGTTCGTGTGTTAATCTGGTAATATTATGTAATATTATCCATATTACATTTTTGCATATGGAAAATGTAATGGAAGCTCTTATAATTGAGCTGACAGCAGAGGAAATTGTACAATTTCCTACAGTCAGAATAAATCTGTGTATCTGTGTTACTCTCAGGTATTACGAAGGAGTGGTCAATTTTAAAGAATATGAAACCTAGAGTAGCAAGTGCTGGTAATGAGATCTAAAGTAAATCCCACAGGTAAATGTCCATGTTTATAACTGCAAATGGGACAATTACCAGACATCATGCAAAATAATTGTATCTAGCATATGCATTACAGTTATTTTTCTGCCTTTAGAAATGAAATCTATTAAAAATTGTCATGAATTTTTCAATGTTTGCTAAAATGAAAACATCTGGATCTAGATGTGTTTCATCCAGTCCGCATGAAAGAACAATCCCCATGATATCCAATTCCCGGAAAACTCAAAATTAGACACACTTTAAATAATTCAGACTGTTCCCAAAATATATTACTTCATGAATTTATTGCAGCCAACTTTATATAACTTGGTAATAAGATGGTACACTATAGCATAATCAAGCCACTTATATATGTATACATATATATAGAAAGAAGTTTGAAATATTAAAACCAAGACCATTCCTTCACTGATAAGAATCTGCTACTATCGACTTAAAAAGAAAATAAACCAACCCTTCCTTTTAATATTTTAGTGTATGTTTAAACACTTACCCCTGACTCTGTTCGGTAGTTTCTGTAAACAGTTGTAGCGCCATACAGAAATGCATCTACGTCACTTGTCATTACACCATCCACCTTCTGTCAATGTCACATATAGGAAAAATACAGTTACCATAACAGGAATGATCATGAGACAATGTCAGAAACAAGAGGCCCAGAGGGCCTGTATCGCTCACTTGTTTCTTTTGTTTTATGAAACTGACATATAGGTAACTTCAGACCAAATTTGGTAACTAGAACACAAGACATTTAAACATCTCTTAAACGTTTATTAAGATATTGTTGTTTGAAATTTGAAATTTTTATTCTAAAACTTTTAACCTACTTTGACCTTTGACTCCAGCTAGCACTTAAAATTGACCTTTGAATTCATTACTGTAATATAGAAAATGATTCACACAGCTGGTCTACATAACATAACCAAGAATCATGACTCTAGACCAAATGGTTCTTGAGATATTGTTGTTTGATATTTTAAACATATTTGACCCCTGTGACCTTGAAAGTAGGTCAGGGTCATTTTAATGTGGAAAATGTATAGCACTTCATCCAAGGTACCTGACCATTAACCCCCGACTTGCACTTAAAGTTGACCTTTGACCTCATTACTGTAAGCAAGAAAAAGATTCATACAACTGGTCTACATAACATACCCAAGTATCATGGCTCTAGTCAATATTGTTGTTTGAATGTTTTAACATACATGTATTTGACCCATGACCTTGAAAGTATATGTCAAGGTCATTTTAATGATGACACTTTATAGCACTCCATACCATAAACCTACCGGTCAAATTTCATGACCCTATGTCCTCCAGTTCTTCTTCAGAAGTCGTTCAAAAGAAAAAGTTGACGGCCGGATGACAAACGCCGCAGTACGGCATTAGCTCATGTGGCCATTTGGGCCAGATGAGCTAAAGTCGTCACCCTATGTCATCCAGTTCTTCAGAAGAAGTCGTTCAAAAGAAAAAGTTGACGGCTGGACAACAGGCGCCGCAGTACGGCATAAGCTCACGCGGCCCCTTGAGCTAAAAATTATTAATTTATATTCTGCCATAACATAAAAAAATATATATTAAATACTGATTGTACATGTATCTTATAAATCATTTACATTTCAAAATACAGCTGATGTCTTTTTTTTTTCCGATGCTGCAACCAATGGTCCTTTTCTGCCATTTTAATGTGGATGCATGGCGAAACAATAAGATATGCCCATGAGGGTATGCTTACTAAGACAAAACCAATTTGTCTAGGAACATTAACACATGATTTACATGTTTATATTTGCAATTATAGAGGATAATTGGCCAATGCAAACTGTCTTTGCATGATAGAATGTAGAATTGTAAGCAGGCATAATATCAGCTGTCAAAAGATTTTTACATATACAGTAATACTGCAAAGGGCTGTCTAACAGTATGTCAAAGAGTTACCTACCCCTTCAGCATTGAGAGCGGCACACAAAGCTTCTCCTTCTCCGTCACTGTACAGGAATGGTACGCCAAGAATCTTCAGTAGCTCTTCACACTGTCAAATATATAACCAGCCACATTGAAACACAAAAAATAACATATACATGCTTGAATTATATGGATTCACTCCTCTTTCCCGTGTTTGCATTCACCTTTCAATTCTATTTAAAACCTTTGTAATATTCTCATTTTGAACCAATGCTCTCTCCCTTAATCCTACCAGCGTGCCCCTGCCTCCACCTGATTATCTCTCAGAGGATCTCTCCATTAACCCTACCAGCGTGCCCCTGCCTCCACCTGATTATCTCATAGAGGATCTCTCCCTTAATCCTACCAGCGTGCCCCTGCCTCCCCCTGATTATCTCTCTGAGGATCTCTTCCTTAATCCTACCAGCGTGCCCCTGCCTCCACCTGATTATCTCTCGGAGGATCTCTCCCTTAATCCTACCAGGGTGCCCCTGCCTTCACCTGATTATCTCTCGGAGGATCTCTCCCTTAATCCTACCAGCGTGCCCCTGCCTTCACCTGATTAATTCTCTGAGGATCTCTCCCTTAACCCTACCAGCATGCCCCTGCCTCCACCTGATTATCTCTCTGAGGATCTCTCCCTTAATCCTCCCAGCTTGCCCCTGCCTCCACCTGATTATCTCTCGGAGGATCTCTCCCTTAGTCCTACCAGTGTGCCCCTGCCTCCACCTGATTATCTCATAGAGGATCTCTCCCTTAATCCTACCAGTGCCCTTGCCTCCACCTGATTATCCCTCTGAGGATCTCTCCCTTAGTCCTACCAGTGTGCCCCTGCCTCCACCTGGTTATCTCTCTGAGGATCTCTCCCTTAATCCTACCAGCATGCCAGTGCCTCCACCTGATTATCTCTCGGAGGATCTCTCCCTTAATCCTACCAGTGCCCTTGCCTCCACCTGATTATCCCTCTGAGGATCTCTCCCTTAGTCCTACCAGTGTGCCCCTGCCTCCACCTGATTATCTCTCTGAGGATCTCTCCCTTAATCCTACCAGCATGCCAGTGCCTCCACCTGATTATCTCTCGGAGGATCTCTCCCTTAATCCTACCAGTGCCCTTGCCTCCACCTGATTATCCCTCTGAGGATCTCTCCCTTAGTCCTACCAGTGTGCCCCTGCCTCCACCTGATTATCTCTCTGAGGATCTCTCCCTTAACCCTACCAGCATGCCACTGCCTCCACCTGGTTATCTCTCTGAGGATCTCTCCCTTAATCCTACCAGCATGCCAGTGCCTCCACCTGATTATCTCTCGGAGGATCTCTCCCTTAATCCTACCAGTGCCCTTGCCTCCACCTGATTATCCCTCTGAGGATCTCTCCCTTAGTCCTACCAGTGTGCCCCTGCCTCCACCTGATTATCTCTCTGAGGATCTCTCCCTTAACCCTACCAGCATGCCAGTGCCTCCACCTGATTATCTCTCGGAGGATCTCTCCCTTAATCCTACCAGTGCCCTTGCCTCCACCTGATTATCCCTCTGAGGATCTCTCCCTTAGTCCTACCAGTGTGCCCCTGCCTCCACCTGATTATCTCTCTGAGGATCTCTCCCTTAACCCTACCAGCGTGTCCCGGCCTCCATCTGATTAATTCTCTGAGGATCTCTCCCTTAACCCTACCAGCGTGCCCCTGCCTCCACCTGATTATCTCTCGGAGGATCTCTTCCTTAATCCTACCAGCGTGCCCCTGCCTCCACCTGATTAATTCTCTGAGGATCTCTCCCTTAATCCTACCAGCATGCCCCTGCCTCCACCTGATTATCTCTCAGAGGATCTCTCCCTTAATCCTACCAGAATGCCCCTGTCTCCACCTGATTATCTCTCGGAGGATCTCTTCCTTAATCCTACCAGCGTGCCCCTGCCTCCACCTGATTAATTCTCTGAGGATCTCTCCCTTAATCCTACCAGCATGCCCCTGCCTCCACCTGATTATCTCTCAGAGGATCTCTCCCTTAATCCTACCAGCATGCCCCTGTCTCCACCTGATTATCTCTCGGATGATCTCTCCCTTAATCCTACCAGCATGCCAGTGCCTCCACCTGATTATCTCTCTGAGGATCTCTCCCTTAATGCTACCAGTGCACTTGCCTACACCTGATTATCTCTCTGAGGATATCTCCCTTAATGCTACCAGTGCCCTTGCCTACACCTGATTATCTCTCTGAGGATATCTCCCTTAATGCTACCAGTGCCCTTGCCTCCACCTGATTATCTCTCTGATCTCTCTGAGGATCTCTCCCTTAATCCTACCAGTGCCCTTGCCTCCACCTGATTATCTCTCTGAGGATCTCTCCCTTAATCCTACCAGTATGTCCCTGCCTCCACCACATTATCTCTCTGAGGATATCTCCCTTAATCCTTCCAGCATGCCCCTGCCTTCATGGCCACCTGATTATCTCTCTGAGGATCTTTCCCTTAATCCTTTCAGCATGCCCCTGCCTCCACCTGATTATCTTTTGGAGGATCTCTCCCTTAATCCTACCAGCATGCCCCTGCCTCCACTTGATTTTCTCTTGGAGGATCTCTCTGTGCCACCTGACTTTTTCTCCTCACAGGATTCTGGATATGTCTTTTTAAATTTCTAAACATGCGGAATTGCTGATGATTGGAAACCTACAGTAGCATCAATGGAAATCTCAATGATTTCCTTTAACAGATAAACAGTTCAGAAATATAAGTTTTGTGAGAATGTTAAAATTGTGTGAGAAACAATTCATCTTATCTGTGACAGTAATTAATTATATTTTTTTCCAATCTCAAAAATGTATTGCAGATTTTGCATACTCCATAAATTATAGAAGCAACATGCTCAAAATTGTCAACCAATCAAAGACTGCAATCACTTGGAAATATGATCACACTCTTTAACTCATGTGATATACACTTCTACATCATCTGGTGAAAGACAATGGTATTGTACAACAAATATCAACACATGCTCTAAATACCTTTTTCAGGATGAAAAGGAATTTTGCTCTGCTGTAATCCATTGATGACCTAGCTTCCCCACCCTGGGCCTCCTTACGTTTCTTTATCTCAGCGGCCTTCATTTTGGAGGCAATTCCATCTGCCACAAAGATCAGCTTGATACCATACCCCAGGAGCTCAGTGGTGCGGCAATACAGATTCCTAAAGGTGTTTCAAAATATCACAGATTCAGGAGAAAATTCACAATTTTGTGTTAACAGGGTGTCCCCTTCCTCCATCTTGCCAAAGTTAACAAACTAGTCCAGAATAATTTAAAACAAGACAAAATAATCAGTAAACCCTCCCCTAAAAAGCAGATTAAAGTGCAGAATTTTTGTTTAAAGGAAACCTTATAAGAGGCCCAATTGGACTATAGCACTCTCTTGTTATTCATCTCACATCAGAAGGCTTATGTTATACTTAAGAATCTGCTTGAAGGTAATAATACAATAATCTTCTCTAGTAAAGGGGGGTCAAGGCCTAGGTCATTCACATGAACAAATGTCAAACCCCTTCAATCCAGCAGTCTGTTTACATAGTACTCTATCTTAACTACTGTATATATATATATAGATAATTATAAGTACTGTATATAATCTCTTAATGTAGTAATTAAGGAAGTTGAATACCAAACATACATAAACATAGCATGTGTATAGCTGGAGTCATTACCTGATATAGAGGTTCTTGATAGAACTGACTTGCTGAAATTCCACAACCCAGCTACTGAGGTCTACTGCCACTAGTTTCCCCCGCAGTGACTGTGCACGAATACTCTTGTCCTCAGTGTCAATGGCATCCTCTAAAATCGGCCACAGAGTTTTGACACCCATGATGGTAAGTCTGAGGTCACCAAACTCCCGCAAATATCACATCTTCATATCCAAACTGAAGTTACCTTATGTCATCTTAGGACTATACACATATCTGTAATAAATAAGAAAGCTTAATTCTAGTACATTGTAGATACAATAAATGTAATCACGATCTCTTTTTTTTTAAAAACAATAACTTCTTATAAGGAAATACTGTGTACATATGCCATGTATATGATCCTAAAGTACCAAAATATAAAAGCAGCCACTTGCATAGTGGGACTGGATTAAACTGCAAACAGAAATTTGAAACAATTAAGATCAATTTATCGATTATATTTTATAAAAACCTATAAAATAAGGGAAAACAGAAAAAAAGGAAAATTACAGAAAAGAAGGAAACATTAAAAAGAATATGACAAACAAATATGAAACAATTTAAGAGACGATTTTTTTAAAAATTACATCTATTTTCGCTTCATTTGTATTGAGTGTATTTGGTAACTCAACACTTTAATTGGGTAGTATTGCTGTACCAAAGCTGTCCAGACGGATTTCTATACTCGCTTTTTAACGACTTTAAAAGGTATATACATTATATATAAGGAATATTCGGGGAAAATACTGCCTCACTGACAAGCTAGCTTTTCTAGCGATGCAGTTTAACCTGGGAACCCGCTCACTAGTTCAGCATCGTCGAGCTAGCTTGGTCAGTAGTTGGATATGGGTGACCGCCCACATGTTACATTTGGTGGCAGCGGTGGGATCTCTGTGTGATCATGTAAGGCCAGTTCCCAGTGGTTTGGGAAGGTGCTTTGATACACAGGGAGGACCTACAGCCTTCCCCAGGCCAATGCAAGTCTCAGGACGAGACTTCTCGGAGGGGGGAGTAGTGTATTAGCTAAGGAATATGAGGGGAAAATACTGCCTTTCTGGCAAGCTAGCCTTTCCAGCGATGCAGTATCACCCGGGGACCTGCTCACTAGTTCAGCAGCGTCGAGCATGGTCAGTAGTTGGATGGGTGACATGACTGCCCACAGGTTACATAACTTCTTTTGGAAGCTGCCATGGGAAGAATTATTGTTTTGATTTCTACAGGATGGAATTGGAAGCACTTTTTTTTGTTTATATAAAATTTCTTACAAGATGAATGTACAGTACAAGAAATAAGTGTTTTTATTTACTGATCATGACTTGGTTGTGAATATATATATATAGTTTTGTGAAGCGTAGTTATATATGTTATCGAAATACATTTCATCTATATCTTCTATGGATTTAGTAGAGCTCCCACAATGGGGTCCCGTGACCACTTTTCCTGGGCCAAGATTTGAAAGTTGATTTAAGTCAATATGAGGGTGCTGATTAAAATGAGCTGGGGTGAACCTCTTGAAAATGTAGACTAACTTGGTAAGACACGAAAATTCAAAATTGCCACCATCCGGCTTCGGGTATATAAAAAAAATACATATCTTTGCTTCTAGATGTCCTTTTCATATGATTTTTGGGTCTAAATATATGTTTTTATAGGGTCAGGGAATTCCTAAATTAGCATAATAAGTTGATAAAAGTGAGATGTAGAACGAGAAATGGTCTCTAATAATTTTGCTGTCAAAAACCAGGATAACCGCCAGCTGACTGCAAAGGAAAAGATCAGACAGACACCCTTAATGGTTATGATGCAAAGGTTTCATCTTTAACCATTGTAAATTAGATAAAACAACTGTTGTATGAAAACATTTTGGAATTAATGTCCTCGCACAAGCCAGAATCATATGATTTAACGTCCTATTAACAGCTAAGGCACTTCATTTGTGTTGTGTAAGCGTGAATGTGTGTATGTGTGCTGAAGACAGGGTATGTTGGTGTAGTTGCCTCCTTGTGAAAGCATGGATCTGATGCCAACTCTATAGTGCTATCATGCCAAAGGCACCAAGCACAGCATTCCGTCCGGTCACATTATACTGACAACAGATGAACCAGTTGTTGCCGTTCTCCTAAATGCTGAATGTTAAGCAGAGAATAACAACTAACATTTTTAAGGACTTTGGTATGTCCCGGCCTTTGGACAGAACCCATCGCCTTCCTTACTTGGGCAAACATTCAACATCAACGCCAAAAGTGAGGTGTTGCCAAGCAAGGCGCAAGGAAATAATCGGTAGTTTGAAGTAGAAAGGTATATTCAACAGATCCCAAATATTGCAATGGGCATGTTGGGCGCAACGGCGCATATGGTAATAATCCCGCATTTGGGTAACACTTTGTATGTTATGATTGAATGCACTTCAAATCTACTTTCACTATCCTATATAAAAAATCAAAATGTTGTACTTCACTTACGTTGTTGAAAATCGCCATATCTATTGGTTATTACAAACAAATTTTGGTTGAACAGTTTTTGGTTTTGAAAGTATTTCACGACCTTTGAAGCCTTAGAAAAGTTGGGACATCTAAAATCACGAAAATCTCAAAACACGAAAAAACGTTCAACCAAAAGTTGTTTATAATAACCATATAAATAGCGATTTTTAATAAAGATAGTGAAGTACAAAATTTTGATTTTTTATATAGGATAGTGAAAGTAGATTCGAAGTGCATTCAACCATAACATACAAAGATGTTACCCAAATGCAGGATTATTTCCCATATGTGCCTCATGGGTGCAGCAGATTTATTTTGGTCGATGTTATATAGGCCTATGTCCCCAAATGGAACGCACAAAAGCTAATACCGAATGAATCAGATGAGGACGGGCCGGGTGTCAAGGGAGTCGCCGCCACAAACAGAAAATAGTTAGAAAAGAATCATGACAGCAAACAATGACGACTCCTTGGTCCGAATAGTTTGATGCGTTGGTTTAAATTTGTCGCTACTTCTACTTCTAGCCCTAGCCTAATCGATATTTCTCTTAGCATAAATACTGCTAGCAAGTATTAATTTATACTTACAACAAGATGTGAAGTAGTTATCAGCTTGGTAATGTTTACTTTAGCCTTTCGGAACTTTTTGGGGATTTTCAATTGAACATTGAAGAGTTCCAAAATACCTAAAATGGCGGACAACGAAGTGGAAAGGTTGACTCAAGCAATAAGTTTAACACAAAAACTACGGACAAGCGTCACCCGTGTTTTTTCTGACTTGTCAGATGGTTATCACATCAGTCAAGGAAACGAAAAAGCATCTCTAAATGTTTTACAAAAGGCATTATTGACAGTAAATGACAATTACAGGTATATCTCTTCATATTGAACATTCAGTCTTTTGTTTCAGATTGTCATGTACTGTGCTTACCTTATGTAGTTAGGGCATGCTGAGTGTACTTTCGCTTGAACAAGCGTTGTGATCAATCTACACTTTACTGACTATTAAAGTATAACCGAAAGAGTATATTTCCAAAGGGTATATATGCGTGTTTAAACATTTTAAGAATGTTGATATCACTATTTATGGCCCAGAATTCTTCCAGTTGTCTCCCTTAGGCTATTGGGATGGACAAGTAATGTCAGTTTTTTGTACTATAAGTTACTACATGTACGTAGAAATATACTATCTCATTGTATGGACTCGTGGATATATACAGGCCTTTTTATAGCCGAATAATGCGAATATGGGCCAGTTCCCCCGTCCAATTTTGGCAATATTTTCCCATATTTATGCTTTATTTCCCAAGTTGCAATTAAAAATTCACCCACTTGTAACTAAAATACTGCATAAATTTCTAGTTCCACAACTGAGTGATTTAATTCATTTTCTCTGTGTTGATGTTAATTGTCACTACTGATATTTTTATAATAAATAATGAACAGCAAGGAACAAAAATAAAGATCTAATCCATGCTCCCCTCTTGTACTCTCCCCCTGGCTCAGGCCTGCAGCCCTACATATACCTGGATGGGACGACATACACCTACAGAATATATATATTTCCCCCTATTTCAAAAAAAGGGTACTAACATTCTATTCCTGCATTATTCACTGGGACTGTGGTTTTGTCTAAAATGCAGATCACACATGTACAGTACGTAGTAAATCATTTTTTATTGAGGGCTCAGTCAGCTCTATCAAAAAATACTAAAAAGAATTCTAGATAAATAGACAGGTTTTTTGACAATATTTACAGTTGCCTTTTTAAATATGCAAAACTGAAAAACCTTTAAAAGTTATGAACATCTATTATTTGATACATCAATAGAAATTTTGATGAAACAGATTTATTTTATTTCTGCCACAAAGTTCCTTTTATATGAATAAAGTTTAAAGTTTTAAACTTCGAATTAAATAAAATTCAAATTCATCAAATTTCATATTCTAAATTTGGCAATGTAAGCTTTTCTTTTTTTCTGATTTTGTCTACAGTGTACATATAATTTTTTTATTATTTACTTCATGGCCAAATATTAAAACATGTTCATTCTGTGAAATACCTAGGAGTAACCCTCGGATCAGATTTGAAATGGGACTCTAGATCTCATGTAGATCACATTTGCAACAAGGCAGATTCTACTCTATACTCTAGTATATAATTTTCAGAAGAAACCTAAAAGTAAGCTCGGCAACATTTAAGAACAGGCTGCTTACAAATCTTTGGTTAGACCCTCTTTAGAATATGCTTGCTCTGTTTGGGATCCTTACACAAAAAAAGACATAAAAAAAAATTGTCCAGAGGAGAGGAGCCTGATATGTGTCAAATCGCTTTCGATTGGGGGTTGCCCAATCACTGACCTGCTCGGACCTCTCTCTCGGACTGTCTTTGAAATAAATTGTTCCTCTCTTAACTCTACTTTCTACTCCACTTTATAATTTAGTGCTGGCGGACGGTCGGGTAAGTCCTGTCGGTCCGGATCGTCCCAATCACTTGCTAGCTCAGACTGTATTTGTCAGTACAAACCCAAACCCGTCTTATCCTCCCCCCTCCCTTCAATCTGTTACCTTATCATCTGAATAAATATAATAGGTAATTATTAATAATTATGTAACATATATAGTCTCTAGATCTGTCATTTGTGCTGTATTAATTAACCCAATTTCGTGACAAAATCTTCAATTAGTTGAGGTGGTCATGATATATATGGTAGAACTAGAACTATATCATGTTAATTTTAGTTGATATATATCTACCAGTACACAATTACATAATTGCATTTAATGGTATTTTATATTTTCAAAATGTTTTTTTGTAGTGACTTGGAAAAACTCGTTCCTAACCTAAACAGTGTGAATATCACTGCTCCTAACAGTGCTCTGGTTGGAATTGACCCTGTGTATGATAAAACACCCATTTACTCACAGATCACTCATGCTCACAAGTGGACAAATAAGGTAACTGTGTGTGTAATAGTTGTATCAATATACATAATCAAATGTAGAATGACAAACATGTGAAATATCAGTCACTGATAAAAAAAAATGAGTTCAACTTATTAATAAGTCGTAAGTGACCAAATACATGTACAAAAGTTTAGTTCCTGTGAAATAAAAGTTTTTAAGCAGTATCAACTATCAAGCAACAGTTAACAGACCCTATGCGTGTACATGCAGTGGCTTAAGTAAAATTGCTTGGATTTTCACTTGGTTTTGCTTGAAACTGAAAGTTTGATATATTTTGGGGGAATATCAGATTGGTTGAGTCTTATGTAAAGTTAAACAAAGATTGTATTTCTTTCAGGCAGTTGGTGATATTTATTATATATGTGTGAATATATATATATACTCTTCTCCACAAAAACTTCACTTTACTGGGAACTGTTTGTTACATCTTAAGTACAAGTTATTCTGTATAATGCTGAAATACATGTTATTACATTGTCATCCTTTTCGAGTTAAATAAGTTGCTTTGTAACAGTGCTAAAATTCAAATTGTACTGCTGATGTTTCTTTCATTTTGATGTAAAATACATTGGCATTTAGAAATGTTAAACATCATTTAAAAGATTGATCAATTCAAAAGATGTTCCCTATATCTTTATGAATTCTGTATTATTGTCAAACTTGAAGTGAATTATGATTCTGTCTTGTGTTCTAGGTTCACAAGCTAGCAGACTATGCCAGTGCAATCTTAAGCCCAAACCAGCTGAAACGAACACACCAAGGGGGGCAACCCTTGGCGATCAAACGACAAAGAAAGACACCTCATGCCCATGCCATTCCTCCACAGTAAGGACAATTTCCTGTCTAATCGGACAGTCAGATGTTGATTACCATGATTCCATTTAAAAAATAATTGGTTATCACCTATTTATTTTTGAAATGAATATTTTGATTTCAAATTAATTAGATTGAAATATTGATGATCCTGTGGTTCACTTGATCCTTGTATCTATCATCAGCATGTTATTGGATGGTGGTGTACAATGCTGAGGTTGACTGTTTCAGGGGTGTGGATCAGTGCATCAGTGCATTGGAACGGCTATGGTCAGATATGCCGATAACACTGTCACGTCCTATGGGTAATTGTGCAGTGCTGCAGGTAAGATATGTAATTTCTAAAATTTGTTCTAATGCTTAAATATAATTAAAAGCAAAGTATGAAATGATCACTGGTTAAAAATAAATAAACACATAATTGTTCACTTTGAAAAATTCAGAAAAGATCATATTTTTAAGAGCGGTTCAGGCATAAACAAAAATCAGTAAAGTCCTATAAAAGTTTTTTAATAAGTTTTACTTTCCGTAGATAACCCTATCCCGCACCCTGCGAGCTCTCATTGTACTGCGTGGCCTGCTCATCGAATCTGTCATTGTCAAGGCCTACTCAGAGGATTTTCTCACACCAGAAGGAAAGGTAAAATCTTCATCATCAGCCTCTGTAACATTATTTGGTTATAAAATGTATTGTACATGTCAGTCAGAGTACCTGGTAGAGATTTTACAAGTTTGGATCTGTTTCAAAATAGAGTAATCTTATAATTATATACACCAGCATACTGCCTCCAGCACACATGCACACATCCAAGCATATATTACACACATACACAATCGTAGAGGTATGTCCTTAAGGACCTTAGTTGTTGATAGGATGTTTAACAAAGTAAAACCAAATCGGATCCATTTAAGAATAGTCCAGATAAAATACCTTGTTCCTTTCTCCCATTTATATTGTACTCTGACATAGATAGTAGGTAAAATCAGTTATCTACTCAAATTCCCTATACCTAGGAGTTTAACACTGTTCAGTTTGTAGTTTTGAACTTGATACATTTTTAGGTCACCTGAGACAAAGTCTCAAGTGACCTATTGCGATCGCCTTTTGTCCGTCGTCGTCCGTCGTGCGTCCGTAAACAATTTACATTTTCGACTTCTTCTCCAAAACCACTGAACCAATTTCAATGAAATTTTGCAGGAACCTTCCATGGACAAAGGTCAACAAAAAAAGTTGCCGGTTTAGTTCTAAGCCCCCAGGGGCCTGAGGGGCGGGGCCAAAAAGGGTCAAATTGACT